CCCCGCAGCAATTACACACGAAAATCTTATCAGAAATTTTGTACATGCACAAAATTCTTTTGGAACAGCTTCAATATCGGCCAAACATAATTCAAACAACAGTATTACGACTTCTCAATACACAGTTTTAACGCTAATATCCATCGTGAATAATTTTCAGTAGAAATTGCGCTTGTGCTTTTTGCTTCAGTGTTTTTCGTTCTCTTCGTTGATACAACATGTAAGACGTTAATTTTCAGCGGAATAAAATCAAACGACAACGACAATAGCAAATTGACAAAATTTTCAAAAAAAAAAAAAAAAATCAACAAGTCGTAATTAACTTAGTGAAAAAAAAGCAAAAGAAAAAAAAAACAAAACAAACGTATTCTCACAAGTAAATTCCTGACAGCTGATAGCTCATCAATTCATATCAAATTTTCGAGGTATTATTCCTGAAAAAAGAGGATAATTTAAATAAAAAAATTAACAAAACACGCTTTTGTAAACCATATAATTCTTATTATCACTGATAACATGGCTCATTCTACTACAAACAGACTATATAAGTTCCCATTTTTTGATCGATGGGAAGCCATAAATGTGAAAACACAGACACTGATGGCGAGACTGAACAAATTTCGATGGTGGGATTGAGTACCAGCACAAGCCAAGCTGTGAAAACCGTCTTCGCTTTGATTTTAAGAAAATTACGGCAAGGGAGTTAGATTAACGATATTTTTGCTAGTTGGTGGATGGTTACTGCTGAAAATATGCTACTTATGTGTGCCTTCACCTTTCAAACATTGGCGAATCCAAGGGGGAGGGGAGGTGAGGAGGGAGTAACAGAGGAAGAAGAGAAGGTAGAAAATCGCCCTCCCCTGCCCCAGGAGATCATCCTGGACCGCCTATGTTTCCAAAACAATATAATTGGCTAACGCACGGGCTGCCTATGCGAAGATGCGTTTTTTGTATAGTTCCCTGCAGATTTTTGCCGCTAACGGCACTGGTTTTTCCGGCAAATGCTTCTAGCTAAAACAATTTCAGACTGGCAGCCAAGACTGTCAAGAAACATCCCTTCAAAATTCCAGTCTTCCAGCTTCTCACTTTCCCGAGTTAGCAACTTACCCGAAAAAAACTTTGGCGCGCTCGCACGCAGGTACTACGCTTAAGGGGGAGCTGGGTTTGAGCTCATTAATACCTATTTGAGTTTGAGCTCATTGATACTTATACCCACAAACATACACACAAAGACAATCCCCCGACAATATACGTTCTTGCATTGCATAGATGCAAAAAACGCATAAAAAGTTACCTCCACTTTTGGTTTCTTCTGTGCCTCGGGTTCAGCGCTTTCGGAATCTGACCTCACACGTTTTGCACAGTGTTCGTTTCTCAGTTCACCTTCTTTTCCGCCATCATAA